TTGTAATTATCCTAGAAGAATATAAAGCTTCACATAGGTTTATGCGATCTCGAAATCAAGTAGCCACTTTTCTGCATACTAACGTCATAAGAGACTATTTTTTTCAAACGGTCTTCAAACTGTAAAGAAGAGGAAGACACGATCTCTGGAACGGTAGTTTTATTCTGAGCTTTCGGCTCCACACAAAAAGCCATCGTCTTAAACTAGTTAATATATGCAGCAATAGTTATATAGGTAGCACTTAAGGTACTCAAAAACATGTACTAACTGCATGCCGTTATATGTACAAGTTGCTTATCTGTCTTGTTGCTTTTTTATTCAGACAACAGTCATGCATACAGTTTATGAGGTAAGCTTTTCTCCCGCGATCAGTTTTCCCTGCCTTGGAATGTTCCACCACAATTCTCAGAGTCACCCATTTTAATTATCTTTTTACAGTTAAACTAGGTTGGAGAGTTTAAGTTTATCGTGTATGACTTACGTAACTTAATTTTTAGGTAGATATGCGTCTGGATGAGTGTCTTATCAGCGCCAAAGCTCGCCTCGTCATGACGGCGTTTGTGGACCTGAAAGATGAAGAAAATACCGAGATCATGCATCTTTTAGAGGACATAAGCCGTGAAAACAAGCGTCTTTTAATCCTTGTCTTCAACGCACGCAAGAACCCGGTAAGGCTGAAATTATATTTTCTTATTAGCATTTATCACGCTGTATGTTGAATAACCGGGTTAGTACGCATTCTAAGATAATAGATGACGAGAGAAGGTTCGACAGAAAAATCAAGCTTTCCTCCTGAATTTTCAACTGTTTAAAACAATCCATCTTCAGTGGAAGTGAAAAGTGAAGATTTCGATTATCGCACTCGAAGATTTAGAGACAGAGTTTACATCGAAGGCCTGAGCTCCAGGGGGATAGTGGCTAATGGGACGTGAATCGTGGTGCGATATGTGCTGCAAGTGAGAAGGGAAGTGTGAATGATTAGACTGTGGGTATTCTGTCGGATGGATGCAGAATCAGTTATGTCTGGCCGAGCACAGATAGACAGTTTTTTAAGTTGGGCGCAAGTGAGTAGGCCGTGCTCGTTGACTTTCATATTATGCATCCAGATCAACGTGGCCGTTGATGCTGTTTATTTCGGTGTACTATGCTCCAAAAATGTCTTGTGCTTGTTTTGTGCCAGGCGTGGCGACCACTTCAGTTCCATCCCGACTGAAACCGAGGTCTTAATCCACGGCGTGCCGAAGCAGGAGAGACTAAGGAGCACATAACCAAACCGCTTGTTTATGTTCATCTATGCGGGTCCCAAGTCGTCGACTTTTATGGCCTTTTTAGATGCAAAAGCAATTAGCACAAAGAATGCGCTAAGGTTCGTTGGTTTGTAGCTCTTTGGGTATGTGGACCTTAACGCGAGATAGTGCCGCCCTCAGGTAGGACGTCGGCTTCTGTGCGACGTAGATGCTGAGGTGACTTAATTGTCAGGAGCTCACTGCAGAAAGTAGCTGCTTGTAAGGAATACAATTTTGTGGGGAGTTATCCTAATTATTGTTTCGGAGGAAGGTTTTGATAAGGCCTTCTTTTTCAGAGGAGGTCGGTAGCACTGCTGCGTCCGTCCGCAATAGCATCCTCAGCGATGGATAAAGTTAGTAGGAGAGATTCAGGACTGGCTAGGATGCTCCTATGTGTAGTATCGGTATCAGAAAGCAGGCTTGTTTCGGCTGGCGTAAGATTCCTTTCCTAATAACTTACATCTAGCTTAGACATAGATTTTTTTCGTCAACAGGTCGAAGGAGAGCTTGGAGTTATTCCTGAAGATCGACTCACTTTTTCATACGAGTATCCTTGATGGTGGCATTTATGCGCTGCAATGCGTTTTCGATAGAGTTTTCGAATAGGGATGAAACGTACCGGGAATGAAGGTCAGATCTTATTTTCTCAAATCGATGAAGCGACGGTGGAATGCAGATATAATCACAGTCGAAAAACTACGAAAGCTTATTTGCATATTCCACTTACTTGCTTTCAAAAGCAAACGTAGGTTTGTTGATTTACCTTTTAAAGTTTTAACTGAACTTTTAACGAATTTGTTTATAAATTATTTTTTTAAATATTATTTTCTAAAATCGTTGTAGATCTTGACCAAACAGTACAATATTACCGCTTGTCCCACTTTCCTCTTCTTCCGAAGTTGTCAGCTGGTAAGTGGCTGAACCAGTCAAAGTCTTTGAATGATTTGAGATAGTTCACACAGATGATTGATACGCATTGTGGATAGTACTATCAGTGCTCTGGAATTCACCAATAGACTACATGGATATTGAAAAAAGATAAATAGGACGTTTCGGATTTATAGTCGAATTGAATCGAATATGGAGGGATTTTTAACATTTTTGCGTAAAAACAAAGATTAATACTTGTGAGAATACGCAATCTGCGGCAAAGTAAATTTTTATTCCGGTAATCCCACTTTTTCTAACAAACTGCTTCCTTATACATGTCCATTTTCGCCCTCACGTCTCCTGACAATGTAGGTCTGGTCCGAGAACCAAATAGATACCTACTCGGCCAGCTATGTGGTCGCTTGTATGAGAGTAAGGTTTGTGCTAGAAACTTAAAACGACCATTTCGGAAACATAGCTCTCGGTTTTCTCCTAAACATTTTTACACGCGCAAGCAGAGACCCGGTCATTTTACTGTGTTCTTTTTTCAGTTGGGGTCGCGGGTAACAACGAGTCAGGATAAGCTCAGGAAGGATGTGGCTAAATACAACCAGATATTTCCTACCCGTCCGCAGCAGTAGATTATCCTCTACGCTATCCTTTCAATCCCCATTATAAACTGAATCTTTAACGCGTTCATCATAATGATTTGTATTCTATGAATTCTATAGATACAAAGAACATATTTTTTAATGTTGAATGTCTTCTGGCTGTAATTACACAGGCAAACGAAGGTTAACACAGTTTTTCGAATGCATACTACTCTTAATAAAAAGGAAACCCTAACAATAAGCTTATCAGGGTATAACTGAGGAAGCGACACCTGAATATCAGTAAGAAGACACTTAATTTAGTCAGCTATCTAGAGCTTAGACGTTGCGGTCTCACCTTTATCGTATATGGGTAATAACAAAGGAGTGAGTCTCTACAAAGTCCATACGTTTACTGAATTAAAGTCACATAGTTGGCTTCGGTAAATGGTTAGTGTGAACCTGTGAAGGTGTTATATTCCAAAGGCACAAAATAAGCGCTTACTTTATTCTTAAAATATTATGCTTTTAAGGACAGAGTTAGTTAGAACAAGGCGGTATTATTAATTACAAGTAAGCGTTTTTGAATGCATTAAGCATAAAGCACCTTTCCTGGATTCGATTTAATTTATTCGCATCAGATTTCACACTTTGCCGTATGGCTGACGTGCTGTAATTTTTATTTACAAAAAGTGCGTATAGAACAGAATAGGCTTTTGAAACTTACTATTTAAGGAATAGTGTCGTTAAACGAAGGATTGTGACAACCTTGTCTCGCTAATTAAACAAGTCGAATTCTGAGACTGCCGTGGTCGCGGCAGCGCTTGCTTTTGCCATAGACTTTGCTCGACAGCATAACCGGAATTGGGCCTGCTGTTGTCATAGAACTTTTCCAAACGATCAGCTATTGAAACCGCGTCAGTTTTGGCCAAGTCCGAGAAGAAAAAACTGCTTCTATTTCACCTCCTTGGCATAAAACGATAAGTGCTTAATTCAACACATTTTCTAAATTGAACGTTTCTAGGTCCAAATTTAATTTACGTCCAGAAATCCAAAGTTACACGCAATCGTTGAGATTATGGCTCGTAAGGCAAACGTGTTTATTTTCCGTGCGGTTAATTTTGCTGAAGCGAAAAGTGAGTATACCAGATTACCTATCTCTTGCAATATGCTGAAACTTGTTAACGGTTAGCACTCACACGCAAATTGGCATTAACGCGTGTAAGTGGTTTCTGAAAAATGAATGAAGAACCGTTTGCAACTTTAAAACCTATGTGAAATATGATAGGTTGGATTACTTTCTTACGAATTGCGCACACTTGTCAGGAAAAACTCAAGTCAGAAATCGTGAAATATCGCAGTAGCATGTTATTGTAAATATGATTGTCTGACGAAAGTAAAAATTTGTGTACAACAAGAGAACTTTTCTTTCTTCAACTTTATAGGTAAGTAATAGATTACTGTTAGATCCATAGTGCTCCTAGCAATTGCGCAGGCTAATCGGAAGTTTCCATGTTTTCAGGCTAACTGTATTGATTTAGATTCTCTTCTACAGTTTTAGTAAAACCTTCATAATAAGGTCCTTCTTAAAAGCATGTGCCGAAAAACGTCGTCTGGGACGTTAGATTTCGTGGAGATGGTTTTTGGGAGTCATATTGTTTAGATTAACCCAGACATAAACACTTATTTCTGAAAAAATGGAGGTCCACATAAAGGTCCGATATTAGTATGCCTAAGCTAAATCTAAATTTGTAATAAGTTACCTATTTAAAAAGCCTGTAGGTAAATATTCAGCTGACAAATATCTGCATAACTTGCTTTTTGCGATGGTGATGTCCAAGTAAAAAATATGACAACAGTGAGGTCCATATATCTACAAGGACTTTTGGTTGATCACAAAAACGCTCACAGCCAAAATTGTTAGTCCAGGTATCATTTTTTTACCATTTTCGAATGCTTTTCATTTTATTTTCTGCTGAGTAACGTCTGCGTGTTTGTGTTTGCTCTTATCTTGCCGCCATATTATTTTACTGAAAAAGACGTACAGTCAGCGTTACGGGTAGATCCCTACAAATATTATGGTTTAGGAAACCGTATCTACATTTTCAATCATAGATATTATGGACAAATCACAGAAATTTTTTTAGTTGCCAGGGTTTCAAGTGGAAGTCGAAAACGGGACAAAATCACTTTCCGCCTGGGACAGGCAAACGGGACGTTGAATACGACTGAAAGTTCTCGGAAGCTAAGTCCGATTTGACTACTCTAGTGTCCTTTGAACTGAGGAGCCTGATTGTCTATCGTTCGGAGTGCGGTAGACCAAACCCCCAGCGTAAAACTCAACGCCTGTGTTGGGTAAATCATTAAACTTAAAATAATAATAATAATAGTCGTTCCGTTCTTGTATGCTGGTCAACGGCACGGCTTGCGCTGAAACATAGCAGTCTGGATCGCTAAAAAACAGATGTAGTGTTCCTAAATATGCTTTTTCATAGGGAAATACTTGTTTTCTATGACCTCTAAGGAATCCTTCGGGCAGTGGTGTTTAACATTAACCACAGAAGGTGGATAAAATATGCGCCACCAGGTCAGGAGGCGTATCTATTTGAAAATACGCAGTACTAAAAATAGAAATAAACATAGAAAGAGTAAAATGCGCTATTGATTTTCGAAACCTATGGAAGCAGTAATATATATAATTTTTTGTTGTTATTTTGAAGGGTGACTTTACTACTAAACGAAATACATAGCTTTGACACTGTAGACAAACGTAGTTAAATACTTTATTTAAGCCCTTCGGTTTAAATACATAGGCTGAGTTTCCATGATTAATTATATGCTAATTATGGGAAGTAAATCTCTGTGTGTTAACTAATACAGTCATAAAATGATAGGTTACAATTCGTATTGTGGTCGTTCTTGCTCATTATGCATTAAAGTTACTTTCTGCTTAATTTCGTCAATTTTTGTCAAATTTGTTACTATACATAGGCATAGAGGAAATAATTTGACGGATAATAACTTATTTTTTAGGTTTCCTTGGATATATCTTGTCGTTTGACCTCGTCATACAACGCGGACACACACTACATATTATCTTAGTAATCTGTCTATAATACAATTAATGCCTACCAGTGTTTTCGCATGCCTCTTCTTTTTGTTTGTAATAAGTTTGATATCGACGGTACGTTGATAATAGTCTAATGTGTAAAAAGAATCTACGTAACGAACACTATTTTAACAGCCTTACACTCAGTGTGTTAGTACTGCGTGACCGCCATTAGAGAAAGAGCAACCTATTTATTTGCAACTGAACTACATGAACATTTCAGTATTATTTCAGAACGCCTTGTTATTCTAGAAAACAAAACGGTATGTTAACAGAATTTATGACTTTATATAAGGTGCAGACAATTTCGAAGCTTACTCCTGATAGGTGTTTTGACTTCATAAAATACCCCATTTAACCCTCGAAGCAGAACGCAGCGGTTGAAAGAAGTATTTGACAGAAAACTCAATTTAGAAATATTGTGCTTTCAAAAAGCAAATGGGGCAACCCAGTGCCTGTTGCAAATATCGGTCAATCTTCTACTCTTTATATTTTATTGTAAACGTTCAAGGCCACAATAAGTTACTTGTCGTGAATGAACGCGAACGACAACCAGAAAAGAATCTCGCGAAAAAAAATAAATCGGAATGTCTATGCGAACTGTAACACCGAAAACATCTAGAAGGGGAAACCTACTTACTGTGACGAGCACAAATAGTTTAGAACAGATGATGTCTTTGGCGATTTCGTTTTGCTGTTTATAATAATAGCTACTGTGCGGCTATTGCCGGGGCTCTATAGTCACCCCCAAGGAGTAACGGGGTGAATGAGTTCCGAAACCGATCGTTCAGCGTCCAGCTGTCAACCTTTGGTACTTTCCGTGTTTGCGGTATTACCACAATCCGCAGCGGAATTGGTATGTTCAACACAGAAGAAGTAGGGACATATTCCTTCGTGAGGCGTCACTTCCTTGACAATCCATTCTTCCGATCGCATCCAACAGACCAGAGCACCCACTGCCTAATTACGCACATGACTAACCAT